GCGGGGGAGAGGGGGCGATCGGCGGGGCCTTCTGCGAATTGAGGGTGAGAAATGGGGGAAAAAAAAGAGGGGTTAGAAAGTCGTTTCCATTCTGCTGAACTTTTGTTTTCTGACCGATAGAGGCCGGTAGAGGACTGTGGAGAAGGAAAGTTTATCACCAGCAGCGCCAGGATGGACTTCCCTGCTACCCAACCAAAACCTGCTGCCGATGGTAAAATCATCTACTATCCTCCTGGAGTGAAGGAGATTACCGACAAAATTACCAACGATGAGGTAGTTAAACGGTTAAAGGTGAGCAATCCTGACCACTGTCCCCTTCCCTGCAACTTTTGCTCCTTAAGGTAAACATTTCATCACGGGAAAGGAGAACTGCCAGAGAACTGTTTCCTTGTCACAGTTGAAATGTCTCCTCCTCTCCTGCAGACCTTTATGGGAATATCACTTCCTTACTTTTCCGTAAAAGAGGAGGAGTCGTTTTTATAATTTGTGGATGTACTCGTGTGAGTTCTCTCAAAGCCAGAGTTGATACATTAAATTGCTAATTAGTGTGTGAAATACATCCACAGTTTTGGAAGAGGTCTGAATTGGAATCATAAGTTATAATTGCATGATATGTTAGCGAAAATTTGTGTTGGTTTCTGTGGGTTCCAGCACTTTGAGCAAGTGTAGTTGAGCAGGGGAAACAAGAAGATCTAGTTAAGGATATTCGTGACTGAAAAGATAGCACTGTTCACAGACAGCAAAGATGAATTTCTGGAGTTTGTAGATGGAATTTTGAAATTGTTTTATGTGTAAAACCTGTCTCAGATTTTGCAATTTGAGATAATACATACCATTTCTTTCCTATTCAGTATAACTGGTGCTTGGCAAAGTTGCAAAATTTTCGTAAGCAAAAGGGACTGTTATAAAAGCGTCTTCTCTGCTTGCTTGACAGCATCCTAGGGGACTGTGAGGCTTATCTCTGTTTTTTATTTTTTTTGATCCCTTTTTCCACTGGTAACATGAAATGCTACTGTGATACGGTAGTTTTATTTCTTAACTCTATGCTGAAAATACAGAATAAAGTGGAGCATTGACCAAATATTGGCACAGCTCGTTTGTTAATGCCATGGTCTTTGGACCAGAAAGTTGTCATAACCTGGGATTTGGTCCTGTGCCCAGGGTGGAGATGTAGTAATAATTTTTTAGAGATTGGAAATACTCTCTCATCTGATGATCTGATTCCCATCACAACAGTGACTTCACAAAGATTGAAAAATAGAAATCATGGTCTTGGCTAGTCAGTCAGTAGACTGAAAAATGTCTTACCTATAAATATGAAGAGAATGTAGGCTTTGTGCTTTGCTTTCAAAGCAGCAAGGCACGTGTCAGTTGTTTCTTTGAAAACAAGCCTTGTTGTCCAACTACAGTTTTGAAAATTACTGAATGGACAAGTCCAGTGTAGTATTTTCAAAACTCCAGTGCAACATTGGCAGTTACAGGAGAAGATCCCGCAGTTTTGATTGTTTGGACAGGGACCTTAAATCAAAGTCTGTGTGGATTGGGGAAGCGTGCGGTTTTTGAGGCGCTCATTGAAATGGGTATTTTATTTTGTCCCAGTTGGAGAACTTGCAATGGTGAGCTTGCCATTCCTAGATAATAGGAGTAATAGAATTTCAAAGTCATATATACATGTTTTGCCAAATTCACATGTGTGTTGGACACAATTTTCAGCCTAAAAGCAGATTTTTTTTTCTTTCTGTTTTCATTTCTTTTCATTTTTTTATGAACTACTGTTAAGGAATTCAGATGACCTCGAGACTGTAGACTAACTTTAAATGGAAACAAATACTTTGCCTAGTGGTCCTGTTATCACTGAAATAAGAGACGAAGACTTTTCTTATGTTATTGGTGCTGCTTAATCTGAATTTGAGGAATGTTTTTGGTCAGGTATTGGCTTTACTGAAGTATCAAGAAAATCGGAAGTACTGCACACTTTAGAACTAAACTTACACATATTTCTTTCTTTATGTTTTTGTATAGATTATATATATAATCTTTATTTATCAAATCAAAATCTTTATATCAACTTGATTTATAAAAAAAAAAATATCACTTTGGCATGTGGAATATTATGATGTGCATGGGATGGAAATGCCTGAAAAAGTTTTGTTCAATTAAAAGATAACTTTTCACAACTTTAAATATAATTTAATGTTAAAAGCCAGCTTTAGCAGAATGTACAAATTCAGGCATAAATCAGTCCTTGAAACTGTAGGGTTTTGGCTGCCTTCTTGGATATGCATGATCTAAAGATGCTCTTTGTGTCTTACAGAAGATGTGTGTGTAAATTGCTGTTTTGGCCACCAGGTTTGGGTCAGTTCCTGTAAATTTTTGTTCTTCTGGCTTATTGAAGTCATGGTCAACTTAATTGGTTGCAAATTTGTGTCCTTATTAGCAACTTTTCTGATATCACATCTGTATTTTTGTGTCCAGACCTCTTCTCGTAATGAAGGCTTTTCTTATTATTGGAACTTGAGACGTTCTGGGCACCTGTCCCAGAGTGCCTGAGCAGCAGCTTTTGTGCCAAGGACTTTTAAAAAGAATGTTTTTCTATCCTTTCCCTCCTTCTGCTTGGGGTTGTGGGTAATAAAATGTAGGCCAGATTACAGGGCTTTGATATATCTGTATGATAACATTAGCACTGTCCTGAAAATGGAAGTATTTTAAAATCAACCTTCTGGGCAAAGTGGAAAGGAAGAGCCTCTGGATTGCATATGTATGATGAATGAAACACCAGTTCAGGTGCCTAATGGAGTCAAAGGTGGTTTCTGGTGTGTTAGATTACATTGACGGGTCGGCGCCTTCTTGGAGTGGGACAGTACGCAATATTTCATTTCAGTTATTGAAGAAGTGATTTTAAGTGTGGTGTGCTATGACTGGGGACAATGCCCATTTAATAGATCCAATTAGGTTTAACCAAACTAGGCAGCTGGCGTGTAGCAGAGAGTTGAGGCTTTGTTGAGACTTTTTACTGTACTTTGACTACGAAATTATTTTTTTTTAATGTGTAATGTTCCTCTTAACAGTGCAACTGTTACTTAGCGATTGGTTTCAGGGCCATAAGTCAAATGCTTGTCAATTTAGTAAGGCTTGTGTGGAGAGGTGATAACTTTTATTTAACCAAGCGATAGAAGCAGAAAACAGCAAACAATTTTAAGGTGCCAAAACCGTCCCTTCTTCAGTTCCAAATCAAGCCAGCAACTAAATACAAGTCAAGAACAATTGTACCAGCAATATTATATTTCTTCCTGTAAGATAGTTGAAGGTTGAAAGAAGTTTTAGAAACTTGGTATCTGCTTTGCTGCAAAGCTTCTCTATGATTATTGATATTTTTTCAAAAGTGACTGTATGTTACTGACTTGTCAAACTCCATACTTGTATACTGTTGTCAGTAAATATTACATCTCAGATACAACCTTCTTCGGTCACAAGAGAATATTTTGATGTCATTTATGTATAACTTTGTCATTGTTATGAAAAAGTGAGATTAATAGTACTATATTAAATTGTCAGATATACTAAAAATAGCCCCATCAATCCAAAATGGATAGAGTTTCTCTGAGACTGACTTTGTAGGCAAAACCAGAACTGCCACTGAAGGAAGTTGCTCTCTCTGCTGCTTGTCCCAACCTCTGTTCTGTACCCTCTCAACAAGCCAAAACGGGTGGGTTAAAACTTGTGAGGAAAAAAACACCAAACCTGTGTTAATTTTAGCCTGAATAATTTTCTTGCCGATTTATCATGAGAGCTCACAAATGCTTGTGCTGGCATAGGAGAAAAAGCAACTTTTTTCTGTGGCAGTCCTGCCTTAGAGTGTTGGAGGAACTTCAGAGTCGATTTGAATGTGAAAGTCAGCAAATGTTTTATCTCTTGAGATGGTTTTGCAGAAACAATGCGAAAGTCCCCCTCTCTATCTCGCCTGCTAGATGTTTTAAGTAAAAGAAATAATGCACGATGACTAGTTCAGATACAGCTTTGTACCAACAACTGTACAGGTTGGTAAAATGTATGACAAGTCTGTAGAAAAAAAAGGAAAAGAATTATAGTGCAGTGTTTTATTTTACCTATAGATATCAGTGTAAGCAATGCTAATTAATAAAATCTGTAAGTGTGACACTAAAGATAAAAAGTACCAAAAAAAAAAAAGAAGTTTCTGAAACCTTCCGAAGGAAAAGGAGTGATAAATTAGTTTCAGCATAAAGGTTTTTAACAAAGGTTTAAGGCAGTATAAAAACCTGTCTTTGTGGAATTAAGAATTTTATAGGTTAGAATTTATTGAGGGCAGTATAGTTCTTTATCACAGGGGTTAATATTCTGTTTTCTGATTTATTTTTTTGTTTTGGGGAGTGATTTTCCTTTTGTTTTTCAGTCAGACCAGTAGTCTTGTTGCTTTTCCTGTGGTGACAGTCTGGCAAGGCATTTTCTGTGAAGGTTTTGATTTCCACACCCCCTTCCACCCTCTCCCCGATTCTCCCCCTGCCACCCCACCCCAAGGCCTAGTTTGTGAGCCTCTGGAGAAGTTAGCACTCCTAGTGTGCCTTGAGGTCTTCCTTATCTTGTCGCATGGCATTTCTTAGTTATCTGATATGTATTTGTGCCAGAGTGAAATAAACACTCCCTCTCCTTCTTCCCATTGTCTTTCTGCCTGTTCCTCTGATGATTAGATGTTGGCCTCTGTTGTGTGTTTATCTCTGGAAGGTTATCCTCACATCAATAGAAAATAGTTAATGCTAATAATTTATCGTATTACACACAGGTGGATTTTAGGCATCTGTTACATAATGTTAAAATAAAGAAAGGTTGCTTTTTTGCTACTGAAATGTTTTAGAGTAGGCTGGGGGTATGTGAGAGCAAAAAAAAGTTAATGGCCACTCTCTGAGTTTGTGTAGTTAGATGGACCTTTGATCTTACCTGGCTATACTTAAGTAGTTATTTTGACAGAAAGTAAAAAATAAAAATTAGAGTATCATCTGGGAGAAGAAAATCTATTTTTATGTTGTGTCATACACTAGAATTTGGTATGCTTGAGGGGAAAAGGTGTATATATATAAAGTATGTTGGATTCTATTAGTTAATAAATACCATTTGCTGGCAAGACTTAGATAACATGGGTATTTTCATGGCTTCAACCTCCAACTTGCATGTGCTTACATGCTTACATTTAAGAATTATAAGTAGTTTTGTGGGGGTCATATAGCCAGGTTACAGAAATGATCTGCAGTTAATTATTCTAACAATTTTAAAACTTC